TTGCTTCAGTGGTGCTTTGTGTTAGTAATTGTATTTATAATCATTTAATTCTTAAGGAATTTTAAAAATACTTGTATTGAAAGAGGTTATTATGTAGCCCATATTCATATGATGGACATAATTAAACCATATGTCAACATAAAAATCGTCCTGATTACTCCATTTGTACTGGTAACTAGAGCACTCTTTGAAAACACTTTAGAAGACAATGCTCTAAAAGTATGTTGGTACCTAGAGTTACCTTTCCCTCCCCTTCCTTTTCCCTATGACTAATGTTGCCCTCGTCTGCTCCAGTGAAGGAGCCCTACCTACAGAGACAGAGGACCGGACAAGTGATACCAACCAACAGACAGGGTGTGGACCCTCGTCAACTTGCTGCTCAACTGGAGGGGATACGCGAGGCTGCCTCGCCTGCTGAGAATTCTCCCAGCTCCTCCCATCAAGATGTAGCCACGCCCTCTGTTTCATCCCCTTGTAGTACTCCTAGATCAGACCCCACTAGTACCTCATCAGACAGACAGCAGCGACCACCATCGGGAACTGCTGACAGATCAGACAGAGTACGTGTTCTCTTTCAGCCTGATCTTTTACTCCCACTCCCAGCTTCATTTTCATTTTAGAAATTTATATTGTAGCCTCACTTTCTTTAACATTAAATGTATCGACAGAAAGTCTTGACCATGTATTGGCAGAAAGTCTTGACCATGTAATTGACAGAAAGTCTTGATCATGTACTGACATTAAGTCTTGACCAGTATTGACAGAAAGTCTTGACCATGTAGGGCCTATTGACATTAAGTCTTGGCAAGTATTGACAGAAAGTCTTGACCATACATTGAAAGAAAGTCTTGACCATGTATTGACATCAGTCTTAATAGGAACACTTGTAAATATTAAAAAGAAGAAAAATGTAGATAATGTCTTTGTCTCCGCTGTAAAGTCAAATATTTCTTTGATTCCTAAAAATAATTAAGCTCATTTGCATTTCTTGTTGGCTGTGCATGATCTATGATCAAACCATTCAAAAAAGTATTTATTTTTATTTATTTACAAAATTTGATAAAGTATCTTAATCTTAAGTTCTCTGTTGTTTTCATGCAATATAGTATTTGTCATTTTCAGAATGTAGATAAAATGACAAATGATCGCCAGTCCTGTAGAAGAAGACGAAGACATTCCCCTAACCCTGAGAAAATTTCTCAGCCAGCTCCATCCAACAGGCATTCCCAACAACAGCACCAGACTTCCCAATCCCATCAGACCTCACCACCACCCCCATATACCCCATGGCAGCAGCAGAATCAAAGCTCACAACATACCCACCAAAGCAACATAGAAATCCTGCCTCCAGAGAGAGTCACACCTCCAGAGAGACCACCACTTTCTGAGAGAGCTACGCCTCCTGAGAGAGCTACGCCTCCTGAGAGAGCTACGCCCCCTGAGAGAGCTCCACCCTCAAGAAGGAGAACTGAGAGGAAACAGCCGGAGACAGTCCCACCTCCTTTGAATAATGCATCACAAGAAAAATCCAGACCATCTATATTTGACCAATCAGGTGATGGCTCTTGCTCAAGCCCTGCTCTCAATGACAGGCTCAGAGCATCACCTCCCCTTGACACTCGACGCTCAATCAAAGCACGCCCATCCAAAAAAGGAAAAGATAATTTTATTTTCCCTGTTAAATCTTCTCAAGAGGTAATTATTTTTAATGTACTTTGCTCAAAAATAGTTGATAAAATTTAAAGGGCAAAGCCAGGGGTGTTCAACAAATCTTAGGATGCTAGACTGCCCCGATTCAGGCATTGGACACATGGTCGCATTATCCAGTTGGGGAAAGTGGGGAAATATATCTAGGAACCATGAGGCTTAATAATAATTCACATATGCATACATACATATGGACAGTGCAAATATAGCTATTTTTCACCAGAAACCCCACCCCCATGTTTTTACATTTTATGTTACTGAAACTTACTGGGTAATAAATAATCTATCATTCATCATCATCCTCATGTCCCTTAGTCCTTGGACCGTTGGGGCGCCACAGAACACTTGAAAACTATCTTTCTCCATTCCTCTCTGTTTTCTGCACTAAGTGCAGCATCGCCTAGTTTTAGTCCCGTCCACTCTTTGATGTCATCTTCCATATTTTTCTCTGTCTTCCTCTCCCTCCTCTCGTTGTGCCCTGGATGATTTCTTTTGCGAGCCCTTGTTTTCTTGTTACGTGGCCATACCATTCCAGTTTGCGCTTTTTTACAGTCACCAGGAGGTCATCGTACTGCCAATCTATCATTACCGGTACTGAAATAAAACTTAAGCAAACCAAAGAAAATGACAAATTCATCATAACCTCTCCATTTGTACACCATTTGTAGACCAGTGCAATATGTAGTTTTATTATAAATGTAAAAGGAAGAGCATATATCAATTGTATTTCAGATATATATATTACAATTTAGCATTACTACGAACTGAGATGTGTGTCAAAATTGTTAAATCCAGCTGTGTGTGTGTAAATTAAACATATCCTATCATTGCTTTAAGGAAAGTTTCTAGATAATAAATGACATTTAGTAGACTCAAAAATCTCTCAGTTCTTGAACAAGTTTTATTTTGTGCTTGCAAACAATTACCCGGTATCCCATCTGAAATTGTCTTCTCTTCTTGACATCATGTTGATTGTTGAATTTGCATCTAAAGGACTGTGTCTGTATCTTTTCTAGCCTGAACGTGGAGAAGACTTTGGCTTAGGGGAAATTCAGGTATGAATCAAAACAAAACACATTAAGAAATCTTTCTGTGTTTTATTTTTTTAATTCAAACTGGAAATATGAATTTTATGATAATTTCTAAAACATTTTCTTAATCATAATCCAATTTATGTATTCTCAATTTTGAGGGAAACAGATGATGTATTTACATTTTTTTTAATTTTGATTTGTTTATTATATAGAAAAGTATCAGATTCCAATGTCTGTATTTGTTGTTTTTAATTGGTTGAGGACCGGATGTCATCCATCAGGTTTATGACAATGAGGCCTGTGATTCACCCACTTGTTTGAATTACATGCAATGTCATGGCAAACATGTCATGATAAATAACAATATACAAGGGTAACTCTTTGGATAAAAAAATCAATTTGAGTTCTTTAAGATGTTGGCATTTCCAAGAATTGAAATGATTTAGGTTATGCCTGAGTCTGTAAGAAGTATATTAAATGGCTAACTGGTAACCAAATCTCAACCATCTATGTCCCCATCATTGTCTTTATCTCTTGAATATTGTTCAGCTCCAAATCAGCCATGACGACTTTGATAACACGCTCAATCTTCATGTGATACAAGCCAGGAACTTACGACCTCGTGACCTCAATGGGCTCTCTGATCCTTTTGTCAAGTTATATCTCTTGCCGGGCAGAGGGTGAGTGCTATAAATAGAGTTAACCTTGTTCTTTAGTGAGTGCTATGTGCTATAAATAGATTGTGTTAACCTTGTTCTTTGGTGAGCGCTATATGATATAAATAAGTATAACTAACTGGCAAGAGACAAAGTGGATAACTGTTGTCTGTATAACAATAATTTGACAGGTTATACAAGTATGATAATGATTCAATAAACACGTGGGATAACTCTGTATTGTACTGGTTCTTCCAACCTATGACCAACACATTTAACTGGCAATAAAAATCTTTTTACACAGACCAGAAAATAAGCGGCGCACAAAGCACATTGCGAGAACCTTGAATCCTGAGTGGCATCAAACTGTCATGTTTCAAGATGTGGCCAGGCTGGAATTGCAGAATAAAGTTCTAGAAATTACTGTCTGGGATTATGACCGATTTAAAGCCAATGATTTTCTGGGAGAGCTAATAATAGAACTTAGAGGTGAGTTTTACTTAATGCTGAGAGCTAATAATAGAACTTAGAGGTGAGTTTTACTTAATGCTGGCAATTTCTAAATCCATGTTTTATATTAGACTATTGGGGAGAATTTTTTTTTTTTTGTGTAAAACCTTGGCAAAAGAATTTTGTTTTCTTTCATGACTGTCTACTACCTCTTAACTATTTGTATTTACTTCTTTCCATTAAATGTCTTTGCTGAAAATATATAGTACATTAAGTTCTGTCATTAAGTCCATGATATTAATAGATCACAACTGAACTAAAACTGAAAGTGAAATTTTTTAAAATTTTATTTAAAATATTAAGAGTTACGGTACTTAAATAATTATCTTTCCTACAGAATTTGCCTTTCTTGATAACAAACCACACTGGTACCCACTGAAGGAACATGTTACCATGCAGAGCTTTGAGCTCCCCAAGTCTACTGTAGCACCACCAAAGCCTTCAGACAATGGCAAAACTCAAACAAGATCTCCACGTCAGGGAAAAAAGCATGGTGTGTCCTCATTAGTAAGTTTAATTGAGGCAGCAGTTTGATGCCACTGTGTTGCGGTACAATTGTAGCCAAATATTGTATTACACTTGTAGCCTAATATTGCAGTAAGCTGGAAACCAAATATTGAAGTACACTTGTAGCCAAATATTGTGGTACACTTGTAGCCAAATATTGTGGTACAATTGTAGCCAAATATTGAAGTACACTTGTAGCCAAATATTGCAGTAAGCTTGTAACCAAATATTGAAGTACACTTGTAGCCTAATATTGTGGTACAATTGTAGCCAAATATTGCAGTAAGCTTGTAGCCAAATATTGCAGTAAGCTTGTAGCCAAATATTGAAGTACCCAGTACACTTGTAGCCACATATTGCAGTAATCTTGTAGCCAAATATTGAAGTACACTTGTGGCCAAATATTGTAGTACACATGCAGCCAAACATTGTAGTACACATGTAGCCAAATATTGTAGTACACTTGTAGCCAAATATTGTAGTACACTTGTGGCCAAATATTGTAGTACACTTGTGGCCAAATATTGTAGTACACTTGTGGCCAAATATTGTAGACTACAATGTAGTACACATGTAGCAAAATATTGTAGTACACTTTTGGCCAAATATTATAGCAAACTTGTTGCCACATATTGTAGTAAACATGTGGCCAACTATTGTAGTAGGTACACTTGTGGCCAAATATTGCAGTACACTTGTAGCCAACAATTCTAGTACTCTTATAAAGAGACATACGTCTTCTATTGGATTCTTGAAAGAAAACAAATTAAATTATAGGCACTCCAATAGGGTACTGGCTTCGCGGGCGGTAGGAAAACGCAGGCTACTCGCCGCCTATCACTGTGATCAGCTGGCACTGACTGTTTTCGCTAGTTGTCCTGACTTAGCGTTGTTTTGCGCCATTTCTTAAAATAGACAAACCTCCTTATTTTATTTTGAATCCGCGGTGCATGACTGTTACGAGGATATAAATAAAGTGGAAATCCGACTACACTGAGATGATCTGTTGTAAAGTGAAATTGGGGTAAGTGATTTCGCCGTGCTTTTTTGAAATTTTTTAAATGGTTAATGGACTTGGAAATTTCTTTGATGCATAGTTTATATATTGTTAAAAATGAATCACTTATTTAAAACAATACAGATAATAGCAGCAATTTACAATTCTTGTCGACATGTGACAAAAAGTTAAAATCAGCCGTTGGCGGACATTTTTGTTCACTTGACCTACCAGAAGAGGTTAATCTCTAATGTAAACAGTGGTGTTATTATTAGTTAAAACGTTTTTCAAACAGTTGAATCAATATTTGCTGTATAAAACGAGTAATAAACTCGTTTGATGACCTCAATTTTTACTTTTAATAACGGTGTTTAATAGTAGTTTTACTTAAGGCCTTATATAGTTCATATATTTTTTTTCAATAATACATAAATGATAGACTATACAACACGGTACTAAATTATATTATAGAAAGATAAGAGTGAGGTGACATGGAAAGAAATTAAGACAGCCTCTTGTCCTATCTTATTAATAAATAAAAATCTACCTCAACTAATGAACATTGTGTAACCTGTTTAAAAATATTGATTTTTTTATGTGTTCCTAATATCTTTTTTACTTGTTTGTTTTTTCAATAATAGGCATAGGATTCCAAACAAGGACATGCACTGCCAACCTGGAGGAGATTCAGGGAGATTCAGACACAGATCAATTTTATTTTGACAATAGACGAAGATGTTTTTAATCTGCCAATTAGTGAGGATGAAGAGTTGCGAGAGCTCCGGAGCCACGAACCATATCCTGAATGTTTATTAATGTACCGGTACATCAATGTCGACAACTTATATTTTTTAATTTTGTATTTCATGATTTTAATTACCTTTTTAATATTTGAATATTCCATTACATTTAAATTTTCACTCTCTATTTGTACTGAGAATTTCATTGCAATAGCTTTGTTATTTTAAAAGTTATGTATTTAAATGTAAAAATTTCTCAGCCGTGGTTGCTTTTATTGAAATAATTTTTCTAATATTTCATTAATTTTTCTGTTCTGATTTTTATTTATTTTGAATTTGCCTTACTTTTAGATGTTCATTATCTGTTTGATTTGAAAATTTTATAGCAATAGCTTTATTTGTTTAATAATTATGTCATTTTTTTTTAAAATTAAATTTTTCGACATTTGACGTTATCCACGCCATATGCTCATTAAGTCATATTTTATCAAATAAAATAAGTTAATTCACAGTTCAAGTGTTTTGTTTTGTTAAACATTATATTGTTCATGTCTCCTCCAAATTTGAGCGCTCTAACTTTAACTTTAATAGCCAAAAGGATACAAACAAAATAGTACAAACAGAGCAATGATTCGATCACAGTTTTAAAAATTAAATACCGGTACAAAGCCGAATAGTGTGAAAAAATAAATCACTAAAAAAGTCATAACTTTTTTCCTATAAATGATAAAAAGATCATATTGGTATCATTGGAAAGCTTAAAGCCAGCTCTTTCCGATGATGTGCTCTTTGTGTGTATCAGACGTATTTAAAAATTTGAGTTGGAGTACATAAATTATCTGTCAATAAGTGTCCTTCATTTATCCAGAAGAGCATTGACAGGTTGGAGTCGGTCCAGCGACGAGCAGCGCGCTTTGTCCTAAACCGCTACAGGAATACCTCTAGTGTTGGCAGCATGCTGGAAACACTAGGCTGGTCACCATTGGAAAAACGACGATGACAATCCAGGCTCTCCATGATGTACAAGATAAATAATGGGCTGGTCCACTGTTCCAGTATTAAACAGAAACTCGTCCCTGTCCCCCATAGACAGCGATGAGGCCATGACCAGGCAATTCAGGCTCATACCAGCAAGAAGCCAGTATAGGAGCTGCTCATTCCTGCCCAAGACACAATCAGGGACTGGAACAATCTTTCAAAAGGAACAGTTGAGGCGACAACACTAGACACTAGACACATTTGTGTCTATTGCCTCAAGCCTTCAAAACCCCAGTGCATAATTTCCTCACAAAGTGGCACTGGAAATCAGTGAAATTTCCTCATCAACACCAGGAACAGAGACATTTCAAATCCCATCTACATGCATAGGAGCCAAAATGATCAATAAATTGATAGTGGGCCCTTAAGATATAGAAGAAGAACTGAGAATAAAAGTCTTTACTGGTTTTCTTACCAAAGACCCTGTGTTTCCCTTGACCTTGACTACTTCTATACACTTCTTTCAATTATTAGATTCTTACTAAAATATAGCTTTAAATTTATCAAGAAAAAGTGTCACTTTTGAATGTAGTTGTTAATATTATTATCATTGAAAATGGTGAAATAGTAAATAGGTAACAAAGCATAAAGGTAGTCACTTAAATTGTTTCATGTCTTGTTACCAGCAACAGCGTCCTTCAGATGCTCTACAGAATGACCTTGAAGCTCAGAGGAGAAGGTCTTTAGGTGCTCTAGCAGGAAATGGTAAGTGTCTGTAGTGACATAATTTGCAAATATTTTTTCTTTCAAAGATCAGATGTGACGCAATATAACTGTGGCTTGAGAAATTTAATGACCTGGACATGAAACATGCACAGAACATTTCCAGTATGGGAGCTAACCCAAACAAATGTAAAATGCTGAAGTCACAAGCACTCGGCCATCTTGGTACAAAACACGGATTTAACCAATAAATAACTACTTGGTATAACTGTCAAAAGGGAACCGGAAGAAACAAAATGCTTTTAATATAATCCTTCAGCATTGATTTAAATAATTTAAAAATAATGGAGTAATTATTAACATTTTGAATCTTAGGCTACAAATACAAATAAAGATATTTTTGAAAATTTCATTAGGGTTTAGATGCGCTTACTATCTTTCAAGGCTACTGCAAGAATCCCTTACAGTTACAGTGAACAGTTACAGGGAACTTCCTTGTTGCATTTCTCTGCTATGTACTATTTAATCATAAGGATCAAAAACTGAGATGCTAGTCCTGGATCAGTAATTCATTTCCTATTTAACCCCCCAAATATATTTTTACCAGTTTTACAAATTTAATAAATTCACGAGAGGGCAAGCGTCTATTAGACTAGATTTTGTCACTCTTTGCACTTATAAGTTGAGATTTTTTTATTTTTTTTTTTATTTTTTTTAAACTGATCAAAGCTTTCCAAACCTTAGTAGACTGATTAGAGGTTCTACACCTACTTAGAAAATCTGTCTTCAATGTGTGGCACATTTAAAAAATAATAATAATGGTTGTTAAATGTTAATGTGTCTATTAGTAATTAAAGTATTTTAAAAAAGTATGACCTATCATATCTATTATCTTAGAATTTTCATGGGTGTTTGTCAAAAAAAATGAATTAAAATGTTTTGTTTTTCTTTAAAAATCTCTATTCTACCCTTACAAGTCCATTATGCCTGTAAACAGACCAGATTACTACAATTCTCCGCTCCAATAACATGTCCCATAAAACGTCATTTTAACAAAAACCTTATACTGCCTTTAATGTTTGCGGAAATTAACCTCCAAGGGTCACCACCGGACACCCCAGAAGTTGTGGTTCGACATTTCGTCTCATCTTTCCTGTCTTGCTTTCGCTTCATTCAGCCAGAGCAGGTAGACCCACGAACTTGAATAAATGCCCTTCTCGTGTGCTATTATTTTTCATTTTGGGAATTAAGTTGAGGCAATGGATCCATGTTTTCTTTTTTGCTTTCTGCATGGATCTAAAGTACCTGATGATGAATTTACCTGAAGGAAAAAAATGAAATTTCCAGGGTCGGTCATTTTGTTTTCTCAATTTCTGACATTCTTTTCTGGCTGCATGCAATCATTTAATTATATGATTTTAACTCCTAGAATTTGCAAATAA